GTTGTTCCACAATTGCACAGCGGGAATTCGGAGCTTCTAAAAATCGGCACGTGGATATTGACAGGTGTCTAATCGATCGTCACGTGCGCAGTGTGCCAGTTATTTTTAGCTTGTAGCATAACAAAAGCTACGAGCGCGAGGTCGAATCCTTGGAAGCTACTGACATTTCGCAGGACCAATAAAGAGGTTTTCCACCACCACCACCACATTGCGCTGTACTTCGTGCCGCGAGAGCAGCGTCATAAAGCCACGTCACGTGCAACACGTCAGCTCGCCACGTCAGACGCAATTTTTCTTCTCTGCGAGACTCGTTCCTAATTTTTGTCCGCCGTACTACATCAACATCAAAATGAACGGTGCTGACGCAGCCGACCACCCTCGCATCGCCCGGCCAGCAGGACCACGCGTAACTCAAGTTCAATGTGAACTAATGGTGGCGTTCATGGAAGAACACAGCTCTTTAGTGAACGCCGCCACGAACTTGGGGCCCGGTGAGACCTTTGAGACCCGTAGAAGCCTATGGCGCTCTCTGGCGGCTTTACTCAATGGAGCAGGCCGTCCTCAAAGAGACGTCAGGGGTTGGAAGAAGTACTGGTGCGAGCGCAAGAAGCACGCTAAAAATCGTGCAAGACACGTCGAGCTGGACGCCCAACGGACTGGTGGGGGAAAGACCATCGTGCGTCCTGTCACCGACCTGGAGGCGCGGATCGCTTCACTTCTCGGACTGAACGCCATCCGGGGCAGTGCAGCCCATGCACTGCCCCTTCCAGACGCAGAGGTAAGCATACGTCCAACTACGAAAGAAAGAATAGAGCGTCAAATTAAACAAATTGATACGTCAAGCAAGCAGAGTGCTTCAGTTCTTAATAACCTCACGCGAGCGCCGACTGGCCGGGAAACATATCACGAAGCCAAGTGACAAAATCAAACAGATTATGCACATGCGCATATATCACTAAATCTCTTTCAGCGTCGTCTGGTAGACCGTGGTGGCCTAGATGATGACGCTGGAAGCAGCTGTGTCATGTGTGTGCACGCGCCTATAGTCTTGCGGATTTCACCTCTTCTCTGTGAAAAGGCGCTGGCAAAACAACCGGTCGACGCTCGCGTCATATTCTTAAAAATTGTAGCACTGTAGAAGCCATACTGGGAGAGTAACGTTTCCTGAGCTGCCAGAAAAATTATGGCAAAATTTATTGTCCGCATGTTCCCAAGGTGTTAGACGCCGGGCCTCCCGTAGCCCCCTCCGGTGCTGCTCGGGCAAGTCCCTCCGGAATCAACCTGCCGGGGCCCTCCGGGATTAACCTGCCGGGACCCTCCGGGATTAACCAGCCGGGGCCCTCCGGAATTAACCTGCCGGGGCCCTCCGGCGTCAACCTGCCGGGGCCCTCCGGCGTCAACATGCCGGGCCCCCTCGATTCAGGCGCGTCGGAGCCGTCGGATGTCGACCTGCCACCCCCGCCATCAAGGAATGGTGAGGCGGAAATGATGATAGTTTACTCTCGATTAGTTGATGGAATATACTTGTGGCTATGGCCATATATTGTGCCCGCAACAGTTCAGTCTTGTGCACGTGCCTATCCACGCGCACACATAGGATATTTAAGAAACCCTACGTTCACGCCATTTCATTTTCCTTGATCTGTGTGTTCATTTATCATGCGCAAGTGGCAGGCACGTAGCCGGGGTTTTCTTTCAAAGGGGGGGGGGGGAGGCATAGCCCCCCCCCCCCCTGGCTACGTGCTTGGCAAGTGGTATTCTAAGAATACAGTAGGGAACTCGTAAACATTGTTAAAACAAAAAATGGGAATATAAAGGGCGTTTCTTATTAATTACAGAATTAAAAAAGGAAGGTAATAGCCACGTGGATGCCGTCTTCACTGTATGTTTGTAGGGCGTGGCGGGCAATAAAAGTGAACGATTAATAAAAACGAATCCGATCTAGACACTTCGCAATAAAATGACCACCTTGAGATATTGTGACATGGCCAATTAAGCTGCTAATTAAAAGGTGATTTATTGTATTCGGTTAATTAGTCAACAAATTGTGACGTTTATCGTGTCATCTGATGTACGCCAAACCCCACAAGCACAATAAAGACAGCATTCGCGTAGATGTCACTTTCTTTTATTGTGTAAAGGATAAAATAAAAGCCCCCTGTATGTCGACTTAGATTTTCAGGGAAGTGGAAGAGAAGGAAATTTGTACAAATGCTTGTTTCACGACGTTACTATAGTTACCGCTCCAAAGGTTCATGCTGGCAGCGTTTGCCGCTCGCGTCGCGTCACGTTTCTCTGGTTCTAGCCTGCCTTGGTGTGCCATGCCGTTTTTTTTTTATCACTTTGCGAAGTCGATTTCTGTTTGTCACGATTCCAGATCGATCGCTATTTTTTAAAGAACAGTACGCAACAAGCACGGTATGTTTTTCTGCCAAGGTATACAACGGAGGAAGTTAAGGCTACAGGTCTTCAACTAGTGATATATACCTCAGTGTCATGCAGTTGCTCGTGTGTCCCACGTCTATATGCTTTCAGGTGGCACACCGAGACCTGCCCGCCGCCGGTCTTTTCCCCCGAGGATCGCCCGCGCGGGTCTATCATCAGGCGATGCAGCTGTGGCTGCCGTAGTAGCCTCACAACAGCTACTAGCTGAGACGGCTAGAGCCAGGTTGGAGCTGCAGCGAGAGCAGGGACAGCAACAGCTACAGATCCTACAGCATCAGGCAGAGCAGCAAGCACAGGTGGGGACGGAGGTCTTACTGCAGCCCCAGTGGCGTCCAGACAGAGGGAAGGGGGAGGGGGGCACAGGGGGTGTGATTGTTAAAGGAGACGTAATTGTCCCTCCCTCCCCCCTTTCCCAGCTCTTCCGACACCTATGCACAGTGATTTTCGAATCCACAATTGTAACATGTGTGCCCTTCCTTATAGAGTTCAGCAGAACTACTGCGCTGCCTTCGCCAAGTGGAAGCTGTAATGCTGCATCTGCTCTCTCGGTTGCAGCAGTAGCTACGACGATTCAACCTCTCAGATTAAATAAAAAGAATGCCCTCATACATTTTTTGTTTGTTTATTCAACTTTTGGATTCCATTTAGAGCTTTATTTTAGTAACAGTGATATACCATGGTTTTAAATAGTTGTCTTCTATTTTATGACATTAAAATAATAATAAAAAAAAAAAGAAACTAACGTCAACCCTACACCTGCGGCAATAACTAGTAAAGATTTGCCTTGTTGGATTGTCACATACCGGGGGACCCCTGGAAAAGCCTGTTGTTTATTTCGAGTAGGACAATAACAAAATATTTGGTTTTCGGCATAACTGACAAGACTTCTCAGACTATACAGATTCCTCGTGGCCCCCACTTGAAGCAAAATGATAGATACAATGCGTTTATCGTAAGTGTATCGGAAATCGTGAGAGGGGCATCTAAATTGTTGCGTGATGTACAGTGCTTATGCAGTTATAGGGCCCACGCATACCCTCAAACGGCAAGATATGTATACTTAGTGTCCAGTGTTTAGCTGGACCAAGCAAGTTTTATTTTTACAAGATTATTGATGGGGCACATCTTGTATTTTATGAGAGGTTCTTGCAAAAATCTTCTGGATTAGCTCTAAAGCTGCGACAAAACTGGCACTCGGGCTGCTACACAGGATAGATGTAAAAGCCGTTTTAATGAATGCGAGGCTTTTGTACAGGACAAAATAACAAAAACTGACGAGTTAAGCACAGGAAGTTAAGACGCGTCACAATGCCCATCACTGTGAAACACGGCAGCGGGAACGTAAAAACCAACGCTATCAGAAATAAATTTTTAAGTCAGGGTAACACTGCATAACAACATGTGCAGACAGAACATATCATATTAGAAAAATAAAATAAAATGAAAAAGTTATTGCATGTAAACATTATTATTTCTGTGTTTTGAGTGTTTAGATAGTATTGGTTATTTGCCACACCAGGCAGAAATACCAGTTTACGTGGAGCCTCTGTCATCGACACCGTCCAAACTGCTAGCCTCAAAAGGTAACGGAAACCAAGGTTTCTATCAAATTACTTTAATAGGAAACCTTCCCAGTATTGAAACTTGTTTGTTGACGTATACAACACAGGAACGACATAACATTTACGTATACATTAAATGGATCATTTATTATAATGTAAACTAGCGGTCTTTTCGGCCTAAGCTCTTTTGATACATTCCTTATGCTTCTTCGGACTCGCTCAATCACGTTATTACTTCAGCATGCAATCGGTCGCGCCTCCTAAAAGTTACAATCCTGCGACCAAATGACATCAACAACCACTCGGATCATTCTAGATAAAATGTTACCAAATGCTCAAAATGCGAAGCTATCCAATGCTGGCTAATCAAAACAAGGTTTCATAGGCAATGGATATTTACACAAAGAGAAATTAAACTGTTCTTGATATTCAGTCATACTGGCGTAACATTGTGACCTGCGATAGCGATTAGATGACCAGATGCACGTACTGCATTTTCGCTCGTCCATGTCTAGAGGCACAAGTAAGAGTATGAGAATTGGCACAGAAAATAAAAAGTGTTATGGACCTCAGTGTGAGCGTTTGACGGTGCTGTATAGCTTGGGGCGCAGGTCTCTGTCCTGTATACGAGACTCATGGCCTCTCACAACGAGCCACCTGGGAAGCCCTCGCAGCCTGTGCCCTCTCGTAGAGTTGGCCAAACTGTGCTAGAGCTGGGGGGTTAGCGATTGGCTCTGGTCGAGGGGTCTGGTTGCTGTCGTCCTCAGGCTCCGGCTGTGGTTCCGCCTCTCCAACGTACAGGCAGACGTTGTGGAGAATTGCACAGGCCGAAATTATGGTGCCGGCGATGTCTGGCGAGTAGAACAAGGTCCGATACTTGTGCAAGCAGCGGAACCGTTGCTTAAAAAGGCCAATGCACCGTTCCACCACGGAACGCATTGACGCATGGCGGCTGTTATATCGCCGTATTGCACGGCTCCACTCCGTCTGCAGGCCCGAGCATTAGTGACAGGCGTAAGCATCCATGGCTCCAGGGGGTAAGCGCTGTCGCCTGCATGCAGAAATAAAGACGAAGTACATAAATGCATGTTCCCTCACGCCGCTCGCGACATTATTTATTTTGTATGAAGATGCAAAACACCTCTCAGCTCTATCTTTAATATACACTGCAGCACCATTCGCAGATGTAGCCACTTGTTGCCAAAAGCGTGAGCCAGCCTAAATCAAATATCGTTCAAGGTGACGTACAGTACATTCTTTTTTTCCTGTGGTATTAGGGTATCAAGTGTATCATGTCTAACAAGACTTGCATACCCACAAGTGTGTATACTGTTGTGATATACCTTTATACATAGCATAAGGTCGAGATATACAGTGTAGGCCCAATAGATTGACTCTTTACAAACAACACAAAGTGGCTCCGCTTGCCAGTCTGCGACTTTCGAAGTTTTCGTGTTGAAGGCACAAGGGCCGGATGCGCGAGCTGCGCCACTGTTTAATCATCGGGGTACTTCATCCAGGCCGTGTCTCCTGCAAGAAGGACGATCGCGTTTCCCGCAATACTCGGGCCAGTAAATTGCGGACCATTGAGATACTTTGCTTTCATACAATCACTCCATGTGCACCAGAGTACCTGTCGCACTTTTTACAAGTGACTGCATGCCGGGGTATTTGTACTAGCGTATTCGCCATTTGTTCTACTGTTCTTGTAATCACTGTATTGACATAACTTTCGTCGTGTTCCTGTCGCGGTTTGTGGCTAAAATGGCAACGTTCAGACTTTATATGAATTTTTTAGTGCTGCGTTAGCTAACGCTGAAGCTATACCGTGTCTCACATTTCACTTTTATCCGTTATGTGATGGTGCTCGCACATAGTATAGCTATAGGTCACATAGTTTAGTTTTTTTTTTTTTTTTTTTTTTTGTGGGAGCCCGTGAATAGTACTGTCCATCACTCACGGAGTACGGGTGCCCACACATTTGACTACGTTATCTAAGAAAGCTGTCCCCGTATCATAGCGCTCTTCAGATTACCTACCCAAGAGGGCCTCGCCGGGTCCCAGGATTCGACCTTGCATGAGCTGTCTACGGAGCCAGGAACTCTTCCACACGAAAGAGTCATGAGTTGAGCCAGGCATTGTGGGGTCGATGCACTCGATGCGCATATCGGCGTGGCAAATCTGTTTAAAAAAAATAAACAGCTCTGATGAAAAACGACCACATTATGAGCTCCTGTGCAGACATACGGCCCAATGTCCAAGAACTAGAGAGATGAAGCCGAATCGGTGCATCTGCACCGACTCATCTGCAGGTATAAGTGGTGTTCACGTCACTGGACGCCATAGTGATGCGCGCTGTTCATGTCACAATCTCAAAACGAGCCCCTTCCCTCCTCCCCCATCTTAATTTGCCAAGGACGACTATCTTGATGATGTGTATGGGCGTCCGCAAGCACTGCGGAGGCTCGCATTTAGTGTGCAGTTAGTGCGTGCTCAGCAAAGACAACCACCACTTCAGGTGGTATTCAATGGAGGCAATAGTTGTGGTTGTTAGGATGGCTGGGTGTCTGTCCGTGTCCCGGTTAAGTTATCCATTGTTATATCCGGTGGGACCACCGAGTGCCGAAACAAACAATGTTTAGTGCGATCAAATGGTACCAAGCACTGGCCAAAGCTCACGTGCGTCGGGAAACGCCGGACCGCATGAACTGAAAAAAAAAAGGTCGGTAGCTTAAATGACTAATATGTCATCAGTCTACACCATCGCGTGTGTACAAGCCCCTCTAGTTGTCGTCGCTGTTGAGAGCGCGCTGGTCCCACAGGATATAAATATGCGCCTTCGCAGTTCTTCCGAAAGGTGCATTCCACACCATCAAGATAACCGTCGTTGAGAGACTAAAGGGGGGAGGGGGGCCATTCTCATCCTGTGCTGTGTAAATGATTACCCTGAAAATTTGCGCAGTATGCGCACTTATTGTGATTGTGTGCACTTAGAAATGAACTGTATAGGTGGTATTCACTGGACGACATATTTGAGGTTACTGCTCACAGCACACGCTCGTGATGAGTTCTTATTTATTGTCTCCCAAGGAAAACAATTTTGATGGCGTGCGGTGTGCACGCTGGAAGCGTTGTGGAAGCCTGCCGTCAGCTCGTGCTCAGCGGCAGTGAGCTCAGCTATGGCCGCCAGTGAATACCAGATATACTAGAAACGCAACATGAACTTACCACCATGACGTTAATGGCATAGTGATGCTTGCGGCACCAATACGACGCCGGCACGACGGTGTCGGTTTCCTTTGGTCCAAGTATAGCTACGAAGGTTCCGTCGACGCATCCCACGATGTTGGTTAGCTTGCCGTGGTGGCGACGGAAGCCTTCTTTCGCGGCTGCCTTGGCCGCCTCGCTCCTTGGGAAATCGACCCAGCCGTCCCTTCCCAGCTTGTTCACAATGCCGTTTGCCACCGCCGTCACAGCTCTGCTGACCGTCGATTGAACGACGGCCAGGCTTTCGTCGGTAGCTATGGCACCTTGGTAGCCACCCGTGGCGAAGAACCGAAGCGCGATTAGAACTTGCTGCTCAACGGTAATCGTCGTCTCCGTCTCTCGTTGGCGCCGTATTCCCTCTTCATCGCGAAGTTGATCGCAGAGCCATGTCACTGTGCTCTTAGACAGCCGGTACTGACACCGAAATGTCTCTTCCGACATCGCGAAAGCATTGGCGTGTTTTCTGAATATCCGTTGTTGTGCGCCTTGGTCCAGCGAACGTTGTACAACGAGAAAAGCGGCCATCTTATTTGGTTCAGCTATCAAATGTTAGCGCCGCAGATAATATAGTGGAACGTCCGTCATACGTCATTTTGACGTCATCAGCCAAAGGCGAAAGTGACTGTTTGTGACGGGCTGAAGTGTTCGAGTTTCTAGAATGTTTCCATGGCGACAGCGCGAGCTCTCCATGCGCGCTGTGGCCAATAGGAGCGAGCGGTTCGTAGGGGGGAGGAGTTTTCGAGAAACACGAACGTGACTGTTTGCGACCAGAATAGCACCCCTGGTCAATTTGTATTGCTAGTATCTGGAAGTAGTTTTCTGAGTCTTCAAGCGACTGCTCCAGTTCCTCTGCTGTCGGTGCTCGCACCTCGTGAACGTTTTTTTTTTACTTCGGTTGCAAGATGAGAAGTGATTTTTTTTTTTTTTTTTTTTGCAGGCCGTGCACGTTTGGCCCCACGCAGGGCACTTCCTTGGTTCATGGCTTCTTCCACAGTAGCCACACTGACGCCTTTGTTTGTCTTAAGGGGCTCGTCCTGGTGCTGCTGATGACTTGCTGACTCAGTGAATCTTTGCTTCGCCCTCGAGGGTGCGATTCTGGGCAGCCGCTAATTCCGCAGCTTTCCAGACCTCGATGGCCAATTCCAAAGTAAGGTTCCTCTCTCGCAGAAGACGAGCACTCAACTTTTTGTCTGTCGTTCCGCAGACAAGCTGGTCTCTGACCATGGGGTCCTTCAGTTCACCAAAGTTGCATGTCTGAGCCTTAAGCTGCACGTCGCGAAGAAACTGCTCGAAGCTCTCGCCTTCTTTCTGCTGCCTTGCTCTAAACACGTACTGTTTGTATGTCTCGTTGCACTTCGGGCTGCAGTAGTCCTCAAAGACTTGGACGATGGCATCGTAGTCTTCTCGCTGAGCCGCTGTCAGTGGAAATGTGTTGAATACGTCAATAGCTTATGGTCCAGCTACATGCAGAGAAACGGCAGCTTTGTGCGCTGGCGTCCTCTCTTTCGCTGGTGCTGTGGTCTTGAAGAACAGCTCTGATACGCTGCCGAAACTTCTTCCAATTCTCTGCGGCGCTGTCAGAAATCACAATGCACTCGGGAGGGGGCAGATGTTCCATATCGGCGTTCTTTGTACTAAACAAATCCCACTTCTGACACCATGTATCGAAAATGTGTCAGCCACTTGGAGCGAGACCAGAAAGAACCCTTTATTCCTCCTCATCTTCTTTCAAGCAGGAAGGATTTTGTTAGAGGCCCTTTACCGGTACATTTCCAGACCTGCAGCCGCGAGCGGCGGCCATAAGAACCACGCGGCATGACGTCGATGGGGGAGTTGTAAAAAGATAGGAACTTCTGCAGTACCCGCTCGATAAAAGATAAAATTTCTATAAATCTTGTCGTTCCACATTAATATAAATGCGTCAAAAACCTGGTATCATCGACAAAACTTTTATTATCCGGAGTTTTAGTGGCGCCATTTATCCGAAGTCAGCAAAATCGTCAGCTCTATCTGCTACCGCGAACAGCCTCACGAAGCCGGAGGTTTACGGGGGCAAAGCCGAACGGGGACGGCCGGACCCGGGCGAGACTTTCCTCCTTTCGTCATGTTGATCGCGCTGCGCAAGCACGTGATCACGTGGTCGCGAGCGGGTGAGTTCTCGTTGATCACTGATAGCTCTAGAGAGAGCTTCACCGGAACCCCGCGCGTCCCCCTTTCACGTCACAGCGCACGTGACTCGGAAGATGGTGAAGGAGTTGAGAGGTGCCGAAAACTTCAATTTTGTCAATTTTTACAATAAAAACTAGGACATGCAGGCAAAAGCGGTTTTTTGTTCTTTACTTCAGCAAGGTCGAGACACCAACTCCCAAATTATTTATGCGGCTAGCACTGGAATGGTTGCGCAGCTCCTTTAACGGGTACATGTTTAGCTCTATCGAAAGCATTGTTCAGCCGTTTTTATTTACAGACGTGTTGCTGTTTTTTGACTGTGCCTAAAAACTTCACAAATAATTTAAAAAAAAAAGTCCTGAAATGCATTTTCCACGCGTTTTAAGCTCGCTACTGGTAGTTCCCAATTCTACTGCACTACAATGGTCGATGCCGCATGATAGATTCTTAACGGTGAAGAGTTGAGCTTGTTGGTACATACTTGTAAATATATCAGCTTGAACTTTAGAAATAACTAGAACACGAAGACAGAAAGGACAGGATAGGAGACACAGCTGACTACCAACGATATTTTAGTGTAATCTTCTTCCTTGCGCTTTTGCTCCTTCCTTTTGAGTCCCAAGTGGAGCGCGATAAACCTATTTTATAAATTGCCCTATTCCACTATTAAAGATCACTTCCGATATTTACACTTATACAAAAAATATATACATATCATTTGCACAGTATTCCTAGCAAATTATTGTTTTTAAACTAACCCGCCACATGCTCGTGCTGTTGTTGTTTGGGGCGTGATATTCCGTAGGTATTGTCTTTCTTCTTTGTGTATGGTGATTGATGGCGTGCTGACACAATCCTTGGCGTGCTCCTGGATAGCGAGCGCCTCGAGCATTTCGCGTGCATGAGGATTGTTGTTTCTTGCAAGAATGGTGGTATTGTTCAAAGCTACACTGCACTGCCATGTCCTCCAATGAGCTGCCAGGTGTCCTGCCGCTGTTCCCTTTAGAGACGCTGCGTGCTCACGGGCTCTGTCGTTGATACATCGGCCTGTTTGGACGATGTAGCATTTCCCGCAAGACAGGGGAATGTGGTACACCACTCCTGTTGTGCATGGGAGGTACTGCGTTCTGTGGGCCGTGTTGCAGGATGTTTTCTTGCTTTTTTGATTCACTTCACTGCACATATAGTATGCTTTGTTGGGCGCGGAGCATACTACTACTACGTCATTTCTTGCTGCAATTTTTTTTTTTTCAATTTGTGGGTAATTCCATGAATGTACGGTAGCACCACGATCTTCCGTCGAGTTTTGTCAGCGTCTCCGTTTTCCTGCCTTGTATGCTTCAACTTTTTGCAGATGTTCTCACAGACTGGCACCATAAGACTAGTTGGATATCCCGAATCTCGTAGGCGGCGCATCTGTTTTTCAAAACTTTGCCCTATTTGATGCTCACACGATTTGTGTAGGGCAGAGATTAGAGCCGTGCTAGCGACACTCCTCTTGATGGTTCTTGAGTGTCCAGATGTGAACGGCAGAAATCCTTTCGCTGACCGGGGTTCATACTCCAGTACACGTGTCCTTGATTGAAAGTCAGATTGAGATCTAGAAATTTTATATTTTTCTCGACAGGTGCTTCATAGGTGAAAACCAAGTCGGGGCAACTTTCTTTGAAGCATCTAAGAACTGTGTCTCTGGATCCGTTTATCTGGTCGTCGACCTCCGTGGCACTTAGTATTTAGTCGTCCACGTAACGGAAAATCGCCTGGATGCCTGTTTGTTTCAGGTTTTTTTCGATGATCTTGCCGCATGCCGCCAGGTACATATCCCATAGCTGCGGCGCCACTCGAGATCCAATGCATACTCCGCTTTTTTTCACCATTGGTTGGTCTTGATATACCACCACAGTCGCGTTTACATATACACCAAATAGTTCTAAAAAGGTGTCTACATTTATTCCTGCGGCGTTCTGAAAAGCTGTGGTGCCTTGCTTCTCAATGGTAGAGCGGAGAATTGACATAAGGTTTGTGTGCGGAATCGAATAGTACACGTTTTGAATATCTATTGAAAATCCAGATGTGACACCGGCTCCATTTTCTTGAAGATATGCAATTAATTGTTCCGAATTCTTGATTTTGTATAAATCATCCGATTGTATCAAGGATAGGCGATGGGATAGGAACGTCGACAGATGGATTTGCCAGGTTCCTTTTTCCGACACAATGGCCCTAAACGGTATGCCCTCTTTGTGGGTTTTCGCAGAGAAAAAAACTTGCAGCTGTCCTTTCTTTGTTTGTCTTATTTTTGTGCGTATACTGTTCATGTTGCTGTTATCAAGGAGCTTCAGAACCGCTTGTTTTGCTTTTTTGTGTGTTTTTGCGTCCACGTCAATGAAGTTCTTTGCCATGGCGGCAGAAGCTTTCTTTTTGTATGTGGCTGAATCTAGGACGACGAATCCGCCTTCCTTGTCGGAAACGCATAAATTGAGATCTTTGCTAATTAGCTCCTGTATTGTGGGACGAAAGCTCATACCTGGTGTTACTGAGCTTCTTAGGCTCGCGATGCAATCGATTTCCTCGTTGATTACCTGCGCAGCGTTTTCAACATCAGCCTTGGATGCAATACTTCTGACAAGGGCCACCTTGTCGATGGGTTGCAGCCGAGGTGGCAATGCAGACTTTGGTCCTTGTTCAAGTACTTTTCTTGCCTTAGCTGAGATGGTGACGTCTCCAATGACCTGGAGGGCTCGCCGTTCTGGGTGTTCTTTGGCTTTCCTTGCCAGGTGCTGTTTCAAATATGGAAGGTAATAATTCGTCCAGATGGTTTTTGTTGTGTATCTTGCCATTGTCAGGTAATTCATAAAAACGTTATAGTGAGGACATTTGGCACGTAGAAAATCTGTGAGAAGCCGTTGTTGCCTCCGTCTCGGACCTGAGAATCTTGCTCACTCGCATAGCGTGCCCTTGTGACGGTGTTATAATTCCGAAAATTTGTCTGACATCTGCCAGGATGATTTTCTTGTTGATGCTGCGCGCTAGTAGTCTTCCCCGGCAAGTAGTGGCGGCAATGAACAAACTAAGCGTTTGTGGGTCCAGTAGATGAATAGATAGGAAGGAGGGGCTCAAATAACTAGAAAGGAACTGCATAACGGTGAAGAGTTGAGCTTGTTGGTACATACTTGTAAATATATCAGCTTGAACTTTAGAAATAACTAGAACACGAAGACAGAAAGGACAGGATAGGAGACACAGCTGACTACCAACGATATTTTAGTGTAATCTTCTTCCTTGCGCTTTTGCTCCTTCTTTTTGAGTCCCAAGTGGAGCGCGATAAACCTATTTTATAAATTGCCCTATTCCACTATTAAAGATCACTTCCCATATTTACACTTATACAAAAAATATATACAAATCATTTGCACAGCATTCCTAGCAAATTATTGTTTTTGAACTATAGCCCGCTACTTGCTCGTGCTGCTGTTGTTTGGGGCATGACATTCCGTAGGTATTGTCTTTCTTTTTTGTGTATGGTGATTGATGGCGTGCTGACACAATCCTTGGCGTGCTCCTCAATGTCGAGCGCCTCGAGCATTTCGCGTGCATGAGGATTGTTGTTTCTTGCAAGAATGGTGGTATTTTTCAAAGCTACACTGCACTGGCATGTCCTCCAATGAGCTGCCAGATGTCCTTCCGCTGTTCCCTTTAGAGACGTTGCGTGCTCACGGGCTCTGTCGTTGATACATCGGCCTGTTTGGCCAATGTAGCATTTCCCGCAAGACAGGGGAATGTGGTACACCACTCCTGTTGTGCATGGGAGGTACTGCGTTCTGTAAGCCGTGTTGCAGGATGTTTTCTTGCTTTTTTGGTTCACTTTTTTTTTTATTTACAATTCAGAGACAATGTAATTCCCTCTGTCATATCCATTTAACTATTAGACACTTTTTGGAAATCTGGTCTTTCAACATTGATCACTATCATCATTTTACACTGTTAGCAAGTCCCGTGTATTTGGCGAATATTTGGGGTGAAAAACACGCTATTTACACAAATTACCATAAATTTACACGATGAGTAACGGATAATTCGTTCAGAAATCATGCGAGGTTGTAAAAAACGTGCTTTGGTTCGGTCATACACGCATAACCGTGTAGCCGACCTCGATAACACGCATCGCCCCCGGCGACGACCGCGGCATTGCCGGCTATCGAAGCACCGGAATGCTTGGGGACACACTTAGAAAGGACCGTCGAAACAAATGCCGCGGAAAGAAGCATATATCGGAGACAGATATGCACCAAAAGCAATTGCGTCATGTCGCAGGGCGTTGGCGAAACCCGCGCTTACCGTGCTCGCCGCCATCTTCTGGTCGATGGCAATGCGGCTTCCCTCATGCCGCCCATGTTTGTATTTAGTTTAGGGGTCCTGATAACAGTTTCTTAGACACCACAAATAAAGTCATCGGTCTAATTATTCGTTCCAAACAGTTAAAATGGATATAAAAAGCGTGTCCTCGATGTGAACACGTGACATTGCAGTTGGTTTCGTTTTTGCTTCAACCTTCAACTGCAAGCGATCTGGCCACGGCGCAAGCGCAACGCCGATGTACGCTGGAAGCAAGCGCCGGTGGCTTTCGTTGTTTTTGTTTGACCGGAGAAAATCTGGCAAGTACGCATGGCGCCGCTACTGTTTTGGTTTGACGGGACGCGAGAAGCTTCGCATAGAGCTTCGGTGTTTGCGAGCACATAGTGAAGACGTGACCGGAGAAGTGCCCCTGTGATGTTCCTGGAAGACGGAAAGTAGCATTCGTAATCGTCGTGTGTGCTTTGAAGGCGAAGGGAGTCACAGGGTCCACGAGTTCGCAACCACAAGCCAAGGTTCACGACAGCGCGGCGTTGACTTCGGCGATCTCGTTCTGTTTGGTGCAACCCGGCGATGCGAAAAAGAGCTGAAACATTCGACGTGTGTGGTGCGGTGCTTCGTATTCCGGGTCTGTTTGAACCACGCTTTTAACACGGAGCGCAAATTGTTTGTTGCGTGGTGGAGGTTCAACGGGTACAGTCCAGTCGTCGTCAGCTGATCCGGTCCAGCTGGTCCGGGAGGACGCAGCGAGCGTTTGTAAAAGTAAATCTTCCTTCGTTCCGTTTCAAACTGTGGAAGTATCCTGACACATACCGTGAGTAAGAAGCAGCGGGCGTTTTCAACAAAATTACGTTGTTTTAATTGAATAATGGACTCCGGATTGTTGTCTTAAATCTGCCGTTTTTTTATGCTTCGTGTTGGACTGCGTTCGCATAGCGACGCACACCGCTCGAGTATATAGATGATTCGGTCCTGCAACGAGTTTGTTGCGCCAATCATGCGGCGTGAATAAATTAGGGCAAGGTTTCCTACCTTCCCACAGATGCATGTACTGAGACCATTTTTTATGTTGTGAACGTAGTGCTCTTTCTTTATTTTGGAAGACGTGTTGGTGCATTTATTATGGTACAATCACTTGAGAGTTGAGAAATTGGAGAGCGAGCAAGCTTTCTCAACTTTGTCTCTTTCTCTCTGGCACTGCCCTGTTTCAGTTTCAGTAGGCATATCTACTAGCAGGTACAAACTGCTCTAAAGCAGGTAAAAAACGGGAAGCTTAGGACGGTGCACACTCCGTGTTTCGCGCTTTTCGCAAGGTGACAGGGTAAATGCTTTTGTGAGATATGCGGAATATGCAAGCGATTTTGTTATGCCCGTCGTTTGCGTCTCTCCAGCAAAACGAATAAGATGATCTACTACAAAGCCGCAATCACAAGCCAAGACTTAAGATAGCAGTCGTTTGCTTCAGTGATCCGTGTAGCTGTATTTTACCCTGCTCTCTGCAACACCGTGTCATGACGAAGAGCTGGAACGGTCACGGTTTGTGCTGGCCTCCTGGTTGACAGAAACCCGCGTCGCCGGCATCGGCACCGAGTGCGCTTGGGCTGTTGATGCTCAAGCCTTTCATCCGCGGCTTGTCGCCAGCTCATCCTGCTGCTCAACGGTGAGGAAGCGGCGAGAGTAACCTCGGAAGTGAATGTAAGTCCTCGTTCATTCAGTTATCTGGTGTCAAAGTGTGGAAGACGTCCAACGTGTACTGAGGGCGGGAACTATGAGCATTTTGCCTTGCTTTTATAACCGAAACCAGACCAACGAGATAACTGCCTTGCGCACTCTAAAATGACGGAAGCAATAAGTTTCAACAGGTCGAGTACGTCACCGGGGATGTAGGCGAGACAGTGCACACTGTTTAAACGCTTGCAGTATCCACGAGTGGTACCAGGAAAGCGACGTCAACAGAGAAGGAGCTCGCGATTCAGCATAATGCACTGCTACGGGCCCGTGTATCTTCAAAGTTCGGGGTGGTGGCAGTATAAAAAAAAGACGCATCAGCAGCCCACACCAGTGTTCACGAATAACACCGGTCACAAACTCCCAAGCCCCACCGCTCTTCTCGACACCGACACGACGTACGACAACAAACTGCATCAAAACTAGGGATGCCGCGAACTTTTTTCGAATCGAAGTTTCGATGATCGATTCAAGCGGTTCGAAAGGTTCGAAAGATTTCGATTTTTCGAATTGTTTACATCGTAAAATTCGACAGAAGTCGAATTTTCGACCTTGTTAAGCTAAGAAGTTCGACGTTTTTCGAACCGTCGAACTTATTACGCTAAAAAATTCGATCTTTTACGAACTTTCGAACTTATTGCGCCTCAAAGTTCGATGCTTTTCGAACTTCCGAACTTGACTGACCAAAAAATTCGATGAATATCGAACTTTCGAACTTATTTATCAAGAGAATTCGAAAAGCTTCGAACTTTCGAATCCTGAAAAGTCAGTCACTTGATATCTATTTTTGTCTAAGTTGTTTGAGGTATCGCATTTAAATTAACACCACATACAGTACATATCATTGCCATCTGCAGAATACAAAATAATGTATTTATTGTTTTTTTACGTTAAGGAATTAATTAACTTATCTGAGAAGATTTCTAATGGTGTTCAAGTTCAGCACGTCATTAAAAGAAAACTTTTTTTTTTTCGCTTCACGTTCCTGGGACGTGTTTCTTTTAGCCTGTACACATTTTGGTAAAAGAAACTTGTTTCGAAGTTCTGAACCTCTGAATATGCAAGAATACAACACTTCCGGCGAATTCTTGATAGTTTTTTTTTTTCCAGCTTTTTATTCTTGCATTTTTTTTTTTTTTTTTTTTTTTTTTTACAATGGGCACAAGTATTTAGGTCGAAAAGACATAGCTTTGAACTTCCGAACCACTAAGCATGTGACGAGTAATGCCTTCTGACAACGAGTTTCTAACAATGACCATCTACGCAATCTTTTATGCAGTGAAGAGCGACAGTAGCGATATATATGCATAAATAATTTCAGATTAAAATAAGCTCGACCACACCCTCTTTCCCGTATTGTTTCCTTTAACAGTCCGAAATATCTGGAAGGGGGCGGGGGGGGGGAAGGGAACTGAAGACCCCCCCCCCCTCCCCCCGCTATTCTCTTTCCCCCCGTTTTTCCTCTTCCGACGCCACTTGTATGGTAGAACGCTCCTCAACCTAGAGTTGTGTCGGCTTTTGCGAGGCGATTCCTCCGTCCCAGAAAAAAAACCTCCAGGACAATTACAAACTTAACTTACTATATGCCAGCGTCACTCGGGCGGCGTTCGATCGGATTACTAGCATCGTGCAGGGGGTGGCGAGGTGGTTTGCCAGGTCGCTTCAAGGTTTTTCTGAGCCTCAACCTCCTGCTCGCCCCTGGCCGTTTCGAACTGGATGAGTCTCGTAAAACAGTGTGTTCGTGTGATCACTACTGCGTGATGCAGGTTAAAGACCCCCCCCCCCCCCCCCGGGCTGGCGGTCCCAGTTACTGATCTATGGTCTCAAGTCACTCTGCACTGGCAAATATTCCAGCACATCCGGGACACTCGTCGTCTCATTTAATTGCCTGACCAACTTCGCAGAATCTAGATATCACACCCTAACTTTTCTAAACTTGATTTTGTGGAAACCAGTGAGTCGTGAAAACGTTATTTGAAACGAACTGTGGAGGAATTTGAAAACCGGACTTCGAACTTTGAAAACGTGGACTAGAAAGGAATTCAAAATCTTCGAAGTTTTTTTTTCGAATTTAGCGTTAAAAGAAAATCGAAACCTTCAAACTTTTCGAACTTCATGCAGAAAAAAAATTCGAAATCTTCGAATTGTTCGAACTTCATGTCTATAAAAATTCGAAGCGTTCGAAGTTTTCGATTTTTTTCCAAAGAATTTCGAAATCTTCGAATTTATCGAACCTGAAGTAAAAAAATATTCGAAATATTCGAATCCGAAATTTTAGAAACCGTGAAAGTTTCGAACTTTTCGATTTCGAAACTTCACTGTGATCGAAAGTTGCGAATTTTTCGATTTCGAACCTCGGTCAATACGAAAATATCGAAATTTTTCGAAATCGAACTTCAGTTCGCTTCGCAAATATCGAAACCTTTCGAAATCGAACCTGGGGCGGTTCGCGACATCCTTAATCAAAACGCCCCAAAAGTGAAGGCGTCTGCTCCCGTACTGCAACTGCTGCAACTAGCGGAAGTGAAGTGTTGGGCGGATGTCCGCATGTCCTTCACAAAAATATATAAAAAATGCTTTGCGCAAGGATCATTTTCATTTATTATTGTATACGTAATGACAAAATCCCGATAATTTGTTTTCCTATCTGATTCAAGCTAGTCGGATTGCTCATAACACTGGTTAAGCAAGAAAATAACAAAAATTTGAACTTTTTCATGACCGGTTTAAGATTTATTGTTAATATATCGTTATTTATTGCAACGGACTAACGTTATAGATTTTGCCTCCATACTTTTTAAATGCAAACAGTTCTAACACACGGCTGTCCATTGCGCCGTGTTTTGTGTATTCTTCTATAAATCTGTAATGGTCAGCGACCAAAGAGCTCACCCGCACATGTCAAGCTTATATGCGCCGCGGGGAGCAATGGATATCGAGTAGGAAGTGTCGGGCGTAGTGTCGGTTGTTGTATTTGTGTACATGTCGGTGCTGTGTAGCTGTGTGCTGTGTTGCCTGCGTTGTATGTAGCGTTGCTGTGTTGTAGTGGTCGTTCGCAGTGTTAACAGACTCGTCTTTTTTTTTTTAAACAGGCTGCTAGAAATCTCGATAGGTGGCGCAAGTTACCGCCCGATTCTAAATAGTTTGCTCAAGTTATTTATCCATGTAAGTTCGGCATTCTTTTTTTTTTTTTGTTTTTTTTTTGTTTAGCGGCTTGTTGAAGCTACCGACGCCGCCGACCGCCGACAACGCACGTACGTACCTTTGCAAGTAGCTACGTCCGCCGCTTGGAGGC